CTCCTTCCCTCCTTCCTTCCTTCCTTCCCTCCCTCCCTCCCTCCCTCCCTCCCTCCCTTCCTTCCTCACTGACTCATTCATTTCACATAAAGGGAAATGCTTGAAGACTGAGGCAGCAGGGAGAAGCTTGGATTCCCTAAGACAGGGGTGGAAGACAGTTATGATGGGCAGGTTCTACCGCCAGTGTTTCCCACAGTCCCCCAGAGGTGGCTATGCTTTTGACTCTTGGCCACAGGGAGTAGGAAAATGGCTGAACCCTAAGAACCGCACGCTGAGGCTCACAGTGAAGGAGCCCTGCCCACTTTGGCTCAGATGAGCAAGGCCAAGCAAAGACCAGTGGCCTAGGGCATGAGTATCTCAGCATCTCAGAGTCCCTTCCCTGGTGTTTTGAACCCATATCATTTCCACGCCATCCCACCACCCCTCAGACTGGGTTGGAAGGCTAGGGAGGAAGAGATGATGTCACCCAACTAGGTCTGAGAAGAACTTCCAGCTGGCAGGTGGGCATGAGCCAGTCTAAGCTGGTTTAGAGCAAATAAACACTGCAGCTCTTGTGCCTGCTGGTCTCAGATGAGTTCTTGCCAGTACCCAGTGTAGAATATCATCTATTATCTGGCCTGGAGAATTTTCAGTATGTCTAAGGGCTCTAGATGTTGTCTTGGACACTTCCATGGAGTTTCTGCATAAAGTTTTATTTGAAGAATAGTTCTGCTGCTACAAATAGGAAAATTAAAAAAAACTCTTCTGGTTTAGAGTGAGGAATTTTGGCCACAGAAAAGAGAATAGACTTGTCTGGGGGAAGCAGAGACACACACTTATGTCTCCAGACCCCTTGCCCCCAGCTCCCCAACCAGGGCTTGTCCCCTCACACCCTAATCAGAGATGGCTTCCTGGAGAAAGGGGACTGGATGCTTCAGCCCTTCCTCTCCTCTCCTTCAGCTTGTACTCCCAAGTATGCCAGTAAAGCCAGCCCACTCACTGATGGGTCCAGAATGAGGTAGCCTCGTCGGTCATGTTATCTGTTGCATTCATCTTTCACCCCTCCCCCCTTTTTCTGATACCAGCACCCCAATTTTTCTCTGGAGAACCATCCCTCCCCCACCGTTGGTCCAGGCCATGGGAGAGGCACCCCCCATCCCCTGTCTCCAGGGTGAGAATATGCCCCCCACCCAGGCATCAGAATAGCCACCCTCCAGCTACTGTGATAGGTTTGGGGGTAGGAACGTGATCTTGCTGAGCCAATGAGGGTCGTCCAGGCCTTGGGTGGGGGGCTACTGGGAAAGGTGCTCTCTTTTCTGATATCTGCTTCTGGTGGCCATCTTTGCCACCCTGAGGTGGGTCTGCCTGGGATGAAGCCCCCAGAGTGGGATGCCACACTGGGAGGGAGTGGAAAGTGGCCGCTGCTTTTGGTGGAGACTCTTGGATCAGCTGTGCTTCAAGCTGACCATCCCCCTTTCAGTGATTTATGACAAAATATTCCCTTTTGTTCCTAAGCTGGTGTGCATTGGGTTTTCTGTCACTTATAACCCTACAAATACAGAAGCACCAGCTCCGTGTGGAGGAAACTATTTCTGGGTCTAGAAAGAATGGGCCCAGGAATTAGGTCAGAGGACTTACCTATGAGATCGAGGAAGGAGAGGCTGATGAAGAGGTTGGTGGCCCAGTTGAAGCTGTTGCAGAAGGCGAAGGCTCTCCCTCGGATCTCCACGGGGTAGATCTCACTGAGGACAAGCCAGGTCACTAGGATGGGAGAGCAGGAGGGCTCCTGGGCTGGGGCTGAGACCTGCGGGCTGGCACCAGCGGGTCAAGCAGGCAGCCTCCCAACGACGTGATTCAGGCCGAATGTCAGGCTCTTGCCACCAAATACTCCCCAGCTGCTTCCCCAACACCGTAGTGAGGATCCGTGCAGGTGACCAACAGCCTCAGTTTGCCCGAGACTAGAGGTTTCCTGGGACACAAGACCTTCAGTGCCAAGACCAGGACAGTCCTGGGAAAACTGGGATGGTTGGTTTTCACCCTATTCAATAAATCCCTTTCAGTAAGCTCTTTTAATTGAGCTATCCAGGGGCAGATCCAGGATTTACGAGGCCTAAGGCTTAAATGATTTGAGGGCCATTAAAAAAAAAATTACAAACATCAAGTTAGGCCCTAGCCTAACTAGCCCTGGGAGGAGCCCTGAAGCTTCATGGTCAATTCACCTCTAGTCTCCCGCTGAGACCCTGACTGGAATTTCCCACTAAGATGGGTAGAAGGTTCCAGAGTCACCTGCATGAAGACTCCACTCACCTGGTCCAAATCCAAAGGAGAAAGCGCTCACAAAGACCATCATGCAGACCAGTGCAGTCCAGCGCAGTGGTGCGTGCTCTGGGGTGGGCACAGTGGGAGCTGGCAAGGAAGTGCTCATGGCTGGCAGGGGAGGGGCTGAGGGTTCTCCGGCTCCAGGATGCAGCCTGGTTTTCTTAGCAGCTGACAAGACTGGCTCCCTTTGGTTCTCACTGGTTCTCGGCATTGGAGGTAGAGCTGAGCCCTCTAGCAGGCCAGAGTCTCCAGGGAGGCCTGTCTGCCTGGTGGCATTGGGCATGGCCAGGCAGCTTGGGCCTGAGCCCATGGGCACAGCAAAGCTGATGAGGCCTATGCCACTGACTGACAGGGCCATGAGGGCACAGCCAGCTAACAACAGGGCCCTGCGACCCACGCGGTCCACCAGCCCCATGGCGATGAGGGTAGCTGCTACCTTCACCACACCAAGCCCCACAGAGGCCAGGACGGCTGAGTATCCCCCATGGAAGCCAACTGAGTGGAAGACAGTGGAGGCATAGTATAGCACATTGGGCTGCCCCGTTAGCTGCTGGAAAAGCACCAGCCCCAGTCCCACTGTGGTCCGGCCTCGCATGTTATCCCGTGCCCTGAAGAGGTCCAGAAAGGAGTACCGTGGCCTCCCCAGGCCCAGCTTGGTGACCTCGCCTCCCTGAAGTGGGATGAGGTCCTTGTGGGCTGCAGTCTCATCTGCACTAGCAGGGAGGAAGAGGAGACTGAGGGATTGCAGGAGAGCAGGCGCGACCGCCCATCCAAACATATGCCTCCATCCCCAGGCGGCACCAGCCAGTGCGTAGTTGAGGGTGTAGGAGAGCAGGATTCCCACGGTGATGCCTGCCTCATAGAGGGACACCAGCACTCCCCTCTGCTGTGGCCCCACCAGCTCGGACACGTAGATACAGCAGGCCATGGAGGAGAGGGAGATGGCAAAGCCAACCGCCAAGCGGCCCAGGACCAACCAGACCAGGGAGCCAGCCAGGCCCAGGCTCAGGCTGCCTGCCAACAGCACCAAGTTGCTCCCAAGTATGGCTTGTTTCCTGCCATAGCGGTCAATGAAGAAGCCCCCAACCAGGGAGGCAAGGAGAGCGCCCAGGAGCAGGCTGCCCACCAGGAGCTCCTGCTCTGAGCAGCTTAGCCCAAAGTCAAGCTGCAGTGGCAACAGGGCACCCGATATGACTGCCAGTTCATAACCAAAGGCCAGACCACCCAGCAAAGACACAGAGGCACACAGGGGCAGGACAGGTGGGGGACAACCTGGAGAACAAAAGTGAAAGAGACAGAGTTCAGAATGGTTCCTTGCCAGAGCATCTATCCATCTAACCTCCCCTGTCTCTCATTCCCTCCATTTATCTATCCATCTACTCCGTCTATTTACCCATCCATTTGTCCATCCATCCATCCGTCCACATATTCATCCATTACTTACCCCTTAATTCACTCAACCATCCATTAATTTATTGATCCATCTATCCACAAATCCATCCATTCATCCACCTGTCTTTGTATTCCAACCCTTTGTATACCCATCCACAAACCCATTCCTCCATCCAAATTTATTTATCTGGCATCTACAACATGCCAAGTTGAGTTGGTTTATGTAAATTGCAATTAAAAAGCTCCAAATTAATATACCAGATAACAGAATTTCCAGATTCACTTAATGAACCTGCACCTTCTCCATCTTTGTTGAGAGTACCCTTAAAACGTATGCTTTCTTAGTTTTGGTGGGAGAGGAAACTATATTTATTTTGTTAAATGAGGAACTTGTAGGAGTCCCAAGTCATTTTTATATGCATGGCAATGAGGGAAAGACAATGCATTAGATATTATATTAGGAAACTAAGGTTCTTTTCTGTTTTGACAACTAACTTGCTATGTAACACTAGGCCAGTCTCTTTCCCTTTCTGGACTGTGGGAGCTAGTCTGTAATAATGACTCCCAACGAACCATGACTCTTGGTGTTTATTCCCTTATGTGGTCTCCTCTCACACTGACTCTGTGTAGCTCTGTAACTAGTTTTAACCACCAAAATATGGCTGAAGTCACACTGTGCCAGTTCTATGCCTAAGATTTGAGCAGTTTCCACTTTTATGTTTTTTGGGGAGCCCTAAGCCACCATGTAAAAAGTCTGGCTACCCTGCCACGTGGAGAAAACATGGGTAGAAACCCTTAAACAATAAAGACAGGGAGAGGCTCAGCCATCCCAGTATTCTATATGGGCCTCCAGATGATTCCAACTGTAGCTGCCATCTGACTGCAGTTTCATCAGAGACCTGAAGTGAGAGCAGCAGAAGAACCACCCAACTGAGCCCATTCAACCCAGAGAACCATTGTAGATAATAAAATATTTGTTATTAGAGATGACTGTAAATTTGGGGGTGTTTTGTTACACAACAATGGACAACTGAAATATGAAATGTTACTAGATCAGTCTCTTCCAAAAGGATCATGACACATTGATAAAAGATCTTTTTGACTTCTATTTTTAAGAATACCAATAGACAAAGTAACCATACAAACATGTTTTTTCCTTTAAGGTGGAATAGTTAGAGGTTTCTGAGTGCATGATGAGCAAGCATGAAGGACAGTTAGTGGAAATCAGGAGAGGCCATGACCCATCTGCTTCGTTACTTAGGAAACACTATACCGCATGATGGTTCAGATCTCTGCACCTTAAATTGTGGGGCTTTTAGTCCTAGATATCCAAGTGGGCCATTGGTTAAAGATGAGAAATAAAAATAGATAAATATTTATAATGAGATGGCAAATAATTATAATGACAAATAAATGAGGAGCTCAAAAATAATAATTCTGTAAAATCCTCCCTAAGTCCAAAGAAATCAGTGCTTTACTACTCCCATTTTATCATTTAAACTAATGACGAAGGAAGAAAATCCTAGGCTGAATGTGAGAATGTGAAAGGTTTGTGTGTTGTTTGCATTTGTTTTGGTAGCTTTGTGTTCTTGTCATTTGCTTCTTCCTCTCTCCACCCCACCCCAGCCCTAAGAATTACAGTTACCTGAGAGTTCTGGTTATTAAGGATATTCCTGAACTTCTCTGTTACTTGTTTGTGGATAGCTTTCCTCAGCTGCATCTATTTATTACCCTAGATCTCTCAGTCTCACTTTGCTCATATGTAAAATGGGGACAATAATACCCACCCTGCTTGCTTCCAGAGCTGATGGGAAGATGAATCTATGAAAAGGTTCCATAAATGCTGCTCTAAGTTGTTATATGACCTGCTGGTGTTGACAGCTCAGCACAGTGGAGGGCAACGAGGACTCGGACTGAAAAGACAGCATTCTAGTCTCAGCACCGCCACTTGCTCTGTGTGACCTTTTGGGCAAGTCACTTCTTCTCCTTGAACTTCAGTTTCCTCATCTATAAAATGGGTCTAATATATCCTTTCTCACTGGCTCTTGGAAGAGTTCAGTAGAGAAAGATTACTGGCACATAGGAAGCGTGCTGAAGGAGAATTCCCACGACTCCTATGAGGGTACTTCAAAAAGTTTACGGAAAAATAGAACTGAAAGATAATATGAATATTTCCATGAACTTTTTGAAGTACTCTCGTATTGCTGCCTGGTCCTTCTGTTCATTTCTAGACTTGGTTAAGAAAACACAAGCTTGGTGTCATCTCTGGCTTCCCTTCAAAGCTCACGCCTGCAACAGCTCGTGCTAAGAGTCTGAGAGGAAGAAGACACTGACTTTATTTCACTCTTTTCTGCAGATCTGGGATAGGAACGTGCGAAATAGCACAGCCTGTTTGTTCCTGGTATTACACACAAGCTTTTTTTAACCATGCGTTTTTCATTCAGAGAGACAAAAAGACAGCAAAAACAACATCAACACACACACACACACATCCCACATACACACACCCCAAGAAGGAATAAAATGGAAATAACCACCTATTTGGAATTAAATGAGAATAAAAGGGCCACATAAAAACTGTGAGATGTGGTCAAAGAGGTAATCAGGTGAAAATTATGACTTTTTATCAGAACCCCCCACCAAAACCTGAAAATAAATTAATTAAGCCTTTGAATGAAGAAGCTAGGAAAATTACAACAAAATGAACCTAAGGAGCAAGTGGAATTAATGAATATAAAAGCAGATGTTAATGAAATGGGGGAAAAAAACCCCAACAGCTGGATAGTTAATCACTAAAACTCAAGTTGGTTCTCTGATGTGACTAAGAAAATAAATAATGTTTTGGCAAGTATGATCCTGGAGAAAGACAGAAATACAAACAACATCAGGAATGAAAAGGGGCCATAAGTAGATACAGGGGAAAGAGAAAATCAGGGCATTTTCAACAGTTTGTGGCATGAATAGCAGCTGTAGTTAGATTTAGACTTTTTCAACACCCATCATCTCCCTCTCCTGCTTCTGAAACTCACTCACCCCAGAGGTGCCTATGTTTAGTCATGTGACAGTAAGCTCTCCCTCCTGCACCGAGTACTGCGGGGAGTCTCTGCATTTTCAAACCACTTTAACCCAAAAGGTTACCTCTGTAGTCATTTGTTATGCATCTCTTCTTAAAGCAGATGCTTTTAAGTTCAGTTAGAGTTTTTGCTTTAAAAAGGTGAACTCAGGGCCGGCCCGTGGCTCACTCGGGAGAGTGCGGTGCTGATAACACCAAGGCCTCGGGTTCGGATCCCACATAGGGATGGCCGGTGTGCTCACTGGCTGAGCGTGGTGCTGACAACACCAAGTCAAGGGTTAAGATCCCCTTACTGGGCATCTTTTGAAAAAAAAAAAAAAAGGGGAACTCATTCACATTTATTGCAATTACTGATATGATTGAATTTGCTTCTGCCATTTATCTTCTGCTTACTGTGTTATAAAGATATTTCTTTTCCCCCCCAATATAGGGATGGCCGGTGTGCTCACTGGCTGAGCGTGGTGCTGACAACACCAAGTCAAGGGTTAAGATCCCCTTACTGGTCATCTTTTGAAAAAAAAAAAAAAAAAAGGTGAACTCATTCACATTTATTGCAATTACTGATATGATTGAATTTGCTTCTGCCATTTATCTTCTGCTTACTGTGTTATAAAGATATTTCTTTTCCCCCCCAGTTCTGCTTTTGATGGATTAATTAAGGTGTTTTTAAAATTTGTTTGTTCCATTTTCTCCCCACTGATTTGAATGTTATACATTCTATTTCCTTTCTTCTTAGAGCAGCACTGTCTAATAAAATTTTCTGCAATGATAGAAATTTCTATACCTATGCTGTCTGATATGGTAGTCATTAGCCACATGTGCATACTAAGTTAATGTGGCTAATGTGATGAAGGAGCTGAATTCTAAATTTTATTTAATTTTAATTAATTTACATATAAAAAATGGCCACATGTAGCCAGTGGCTACCATATCAACAGTGCCATTGAACAGGCTACTTTGAATTTTTAATTAACACACTTAAACTTTTTTTTTCCTTTTTGTCTTTTTTCGTGACCGGTAACGGGATCTCAACCCTCAGTGTCCCGCCCGTACCGCGACCGGCAACGGGATTGCAACCCTCGGTGTCACGTCCGCACCGCACTCAACCAGTGAGTGGACTGGTCTCTATATGGGATCCGAACCCTCAGCGGGAGCGCTGCCGCACTCCCAAGCACCGCACTCTACCGAGTGCACCACCGGGCCGGCCCAACACACTTAAACTTTTATATTTCTGAAAGTAGCAGTATCAATCTCACCTCGGACCCAATGAGAACCTTCATAATACTATAGCCAGATTTATTTAGTGTTTTCTCTGGACCAGGAACTGCTTTGAGTACTAAGTTTAATAACTCATTTAATTCTCACCACAACTTTATGAGTAGGCTTTTGTATTATTTATAAATGAATAAGCTGATAGAGCAGTGAAATGCTTTGCCTAAGGTCAAAAGGTGTAGGCAGCTGAGCCTAATTCAAAGCCAGGCAGTCTGGCTCCACAGGCTGTACTCTAACAGATCCATTATTAAACCTCAGTGTAATATGATTTTCTCTGTTTTCTCCAACTCCTGCCTCTTCCAGATCTGTTAGGCAATTTTGTGCAGAGGGAGGAGTTTCATAGGTGGAGGAATCATCCCCCCTCTTACTCCTCACCCTTCTCCCCTTCTACCCCTGGCCCAGAATGACCCCCTACCATTCCCTGGCTGGCCTTGTCCTTCTTGTTCCTGACCATGCCAGGAAACCTCCTGGAAGATTATCCTGCTCTGTCTTCACCTCTCTTTGCACCACCTTCCTCAGTTCCTGAGGTTTATTTCCAGAAAGGAAGGTTCTCCCAGGCCATGTGAGGCAATCGAGTTGAAAGCACAGAATTTGAGGGGGCCGGCCCGTGGCTCACTCGGGAGAGTGCGGTGCTGATAACACCAAGGCCCCGGGTTCGGATCCCATATAGGGATGGCCGGTTCGTGACCCCAAATTAGGACAACTTGGCCTGGATCTAACAACTGCTCTTCATTTCTATTAATTATCTGTCCAAATATAGGTTGTATGTGAAGATGTCTCACACTGGAGGAAATCCCTTAATCCTCTAAGCCCCCCACAGTGGAGGACAGAGTTTCCCGGGGAGAGAGTCAGGGGCAGGGGGAGAGAAGAGAACCCACGTTTAGGATGCACGTAGCACCAGCTGCAAGTCCCAGGGTGCCTTCTGTTGGTGATACTAGAGCAGCTTCTCAACCAGAAGTCACAATGCATTGGGTCCCTCCTGCACCACAGATTTGCCATGGCTTCCACTGAAGCTCCAGGGAGAAGCTGGGAGAAACTGAACTGTACAAATATCCTCCCCCAGAGGGCAGGCTTCCAAACGTCCCAGCAACAGCAATTATAGCTAATACCTAGAGCACTTGCTGTAGCCAGCCACTCTTCCAGGGGCCACACCTGTATCAACTGGCTTAATCCCCATGACAGCCCTATGACAGGCACTATTGTCATTCCCACTTTATAGATAAAACAACTGAGGCACAGAGAGATGAACACATTTGCCCAAGGTGACCCAAGTTAGTAAACGACAGACCAGGGATTTAAGCTTGGGCAGTCTGACCCCAGAATCCCAACGCTGGGTGTAATAAAAAATAAAAACTCAAATTAACTGCCCATTTATCACGTACAGGTGGTGAACTGAGCACTTTAAGTTCATTTTCTCACATCATTCGCATGGCTGCCCTGTGATAACGGTATTTTAGAGTGATGATTTGATGGTCAGAGAAGTTGACAGACTGTCTCAGTTCATGACAAAATGAAGAGAACTGAGGCTCAGTTCTGATGCTAAAGTCTCTGTAGAGCCCAATCCCTGGACCTTGCTATGAAAAGAGTAGCCTGGGAACTCTGGGGAGGACACAGACTAGTGGCAGTTATTTCGTCCCTGCCCTCCCACTTCCAACCCTGGCTCTGCCCACAATAGATGTTCAGTAAACAGATGCTGAATTAACTTAGGAGAGACAGAAGGGACAGGAGGGGCAGGAGCAAGGGGCCAGAGCCAAGCTGAGCATCCTTGGGAGAACCTTGACCTCTCTGGGCCTTAGTTTTGCTCAGGCTCCAGCTCTGGGGAATGTGCCATGGAGGTTAAGAGGATGAACTCTGAAGTCAGAGTTGGAGTTGGTCACCAGTGTGTCATTGCTCTGTGCAAAAGAGGCTGGGTAGTACAGTGGTTAGGAATGCAGACTGAAGCCAGAGTGTTGGGGTTCCATCCCAGTTTCTCCTCTCTATAGCTGTGTGTGACCTTGGGGAACTCACTTAACCTCTCTGAGCCTCCCCATCTACAAACAGGATAACAATATCTACGTCACATGCCTAGCTCTCGCATAGCCAGTGCTAGCTATTATGGGTCTCCACAGAACAACACAGAGAGAGCTTTTAAAAGATAATTCAGGTCATGTGTTAGTCCGTTCAGTTTCTCCTTTCTATAGCTGTGTGTGACCTTGGGGAACTCACTTAACCTCTCTGAGCCTCCCCATCTACAAATAGGATAACAATATCTACGTCACATGCCTAGCTCTCGCATAGCCAGTGCTAGCTATTATGAGTCTCCACAGAACAACACAGAGAGAGCTTTTAAAAGATAATTCAGGTCATGTGTTAGTCCGTTTTGTGTTGCTATCCCTTCATTCTCTTAACAAGCTGTTGCGGGAACTAATAGAGTGAGAAGTCACTCATTACTCCTCCCTTCCTCAGGGAGAGCATTAATCCATTCATGAGGGATCTGCCCCCATGACGCAATCAGTTTCCAACACTGCCACATTGGGGATCAAATTTTCACATGAGTTTTGGAGGAGACAACACGTCCAAACTCCATCAGGTCACATCCCCCACTCCTACCTAAAACCCTTCTTCAGCTTCCTATGTTATTTGGAATAAAATCCACACTTCTCACCTACAGAGCCCTGTTCACCTCTGTGATATCCCTTTGAACCCTCTCTCCTTGCCCACTGTGCCCCAGCCACAGGCCTGGACCATGCCAGCTCACTCCCGCCTCAGGACCTTTGCACCTGCTGTTCCTGCCACCTGGAAAATCTTCCCCCAGATCCCATCAAGGCCCTCTTATGAGTAAGGTCTCAGCTCCAGTGCTTCCTACCCTGGGAGGCCCACCCTGCCCACCTACCTAGGACCTTCATCCCTCCGAATTCACACCACCTCATTTCATGTGTCCCACAGCCCCCCTCCTCTCTCTGAAAGGACTCGTTTATCCAGCTCCTCAACCAGAATGTCAGCTCTATGAGAGCAGATTGCTGTCTATTTTGTCCACTGCTGAATCCTCAAGCCCTACACCAATGTCTGGCGCATAGTAGGCGCTCACTAAAGAATGACCTAATGACCCATCGAGCCTTCTGAATCCAGAGAGAAAAGTAGAAGCCTCAGTCCTGTGTGGCAACAAAGAAATCCCTTACTCTCTTCCCCCTGTCCCAGTTCTGTATCGGCATCTCCTGCTCTGTCTCTTCTCCACTGAATCACGCCGAGAGCAGGGGGGTTGTCTGTTTTGTGCAGGGCGGTATCCCCAGGCCCAGAACAGTGGCGAGGGGACAACAGCGCTCAGCGACTTGATTCATGACTTTGCTTCCTAGAGGGCCCGAGAGAGCGCTCATATCGAGGAAGGAGCGCTCTCGAGCGACTTTTCCTGGGCAGAAAGGAGGATGGAAGGAAGCGCGTCAAGCCCGTTGCCAGCCCCAGCCAGGCCTGCTGTCCGGGCGGCATCCGGCCGGCGGGTCGGGGCGCTGCGGAGGCTCGAGTGAATTTTTTCTCAGTATCAATTTTCTTCTTTATACCAAGGGTATAATGATCCTTACCTACTTCGGTAGAGTTACTGGGAGGATTAAATGAAATAAGCGAGCACTTCTGTCATCATCGGTGTTGTCGTCATCGTCATCATTGTCATCATCATCATCATCATCTGATCTACATTGTGTCCAGCACACGAGGGGTCAACTTTGTGTTTTAAGTCCTCCATTATGTTCACTGGCCACCAGAGGGCAGCAAAAAGGTAGAAACCCTTCCTGGTACTGTGGAATTTGTCCTATTTATACAAACAAACCCTGAGGGCTTACTATGTGCCAAACAGTGTTCAAAGCACCTTGCATTTATTAACACATTTAATCCTTAAAACAATGCAATGAAGTAGTTTTTGTTATTATCGTATAACTTCGTATAATGTATGCTATACGAAGTTATTACGAGGGCGGAGGCGCGCGCCTTCACCGGATCGCGGGGACTGTGTGGACACCCCGGAGGTGGCCGGGCACCCGGTGGCAAAGCCCGATCGGGACTTACCCATGGCGAGCGGGACTCCGCGGCGTGCTGGGGGCACTAGGGGACCGGGCGCGCATTCCCCGGGCCGCGCGATAAACTTTCCGTCCCGCCTCCGGCCTCCGTCCCTCCCTCCCCGCCCGACCGCAGCGCAGCCGCCGCCTCCGCCACGTCGGCCAGCCCAGGCCCGGGTGCCGGGAGGCGTGACGGAGGGGACCTGAGGACTGCCCCCTCCCGGCCTCCTCGGCCTGTCCGGTTTTCCCACCCGTCGTCCTCTCCGGGGACCCCCGTTCGCTGTCTCCCACCGGTAATCTACCCCCGGAGACCCCGGCCTGCCTTCCTCTCTGGGGCAGGCCGGCCAGCACGGCCTTCCCCTGGCCTCTTCGCAGGAGGAAATTCCCCCGTCACCGCGGTCCGCTCGTGTCTGGCCTCCCCAGCGTGTGTACACACGCGCGTCCACACTGACGGAGACACGCAGGCACACACACTTGAGCCGCTCGGACACTCTCCCGTGAATGCGCCATCCTTCCTTCCACACCTAGGTTTGGGCACCCACCATGTGCCAGGCACTGTGCTAGGCTTGGGGTGGTCTGGAGAAAAGAGAAGGGCGTTTTGTTTTTATGGAGTTTCCATTCCAGTGGAGAAGACGAAAAATGAATAACGGAAGGAGCCAGAGAAATGCAGAGCCAGCTAGTGATAAAGGCTACGCAGAGAACTGAAGGAGGGTGACGGGTTAGGCAGGCGCAGGTTGCTGCTTTACCTGGTTGGTCTGAGGAGGGGATATTTGAGCTGAGACCTGACATTCCAGGCAGAGGGAACAGCAAAGGCCAAGGCTCAGAGGTAGGAACAAGCTCCGAGGGTACAAAGAAGAACAGAAGCGAAGCCAGAGAATCTGGAACATAGGAGTAGACAGTTAAAGGGGGCCCACGGAGGGGCTGGCAAGGGCCGGATCTCTTAGGGCCTTGGGAGGCCAGGGTCAGAATGTGGGTTTTATCTCAATTGACATGAGAAAGAACTGGGAGTTCTAATAGGTTATAGGAGCAAGGATGGGAACAGGGAAACTACTTGGGAGGCCGTTGCAAGGTGAGAGATGAAGTTGGTTTGGGCTTAGGTGATAGTGGGCATGTAGTAAAATAGGCACACCAAAGATAAACTCAGGAAGGATTTACAGACTGGAAGACGAGTGCGTGGAGCTGGGAAAGGAACGTAGGGTTCTGTTTTGGCCCTGTGATGTTTAAGGTACGCATTAGGCATCCATGTGGAAATAGGTGGGCAGTTGGATACCATCATTCTGGCATGGAGAACAGCCCAAGGAGGCCTCTTGGCCATTGCCACATGACAATTCCTCCTCCATCTGTGAATATCTGGAATTGTCAACAGGAGACCTGTACAACAAGGCCCGGGCTGATCCCTTCCTGTGAGATCATCTATAGAAGTTATGTGATGGGAAAGGGCACGGTGTTCTTGGTCTCTATGGCTCGCATTAAGTCGTGAAGATGTTTGCAGGCTTGCATGTCCTATCTCTTCCAGAGAATAGAGAATTCCCCCTCATTTGTCACTCCCAAAGGAGAAAGGACAAGTTTTAATTGAATGGTGTGGGAGGCATCTTCAAAAATGGCTCCCAATGATCCCTGCCTCCTGGTATTTATGCCCTAGGGTCATCCCTTGAAGGTGACTCCCTAGTGACTCACTTCTAATGAATCGAATACAGCAAAGTGGTGGATGTCATTGTAGAGATTAGGTTATAAAAGACGGTGATTTCTGTCTTGCTCATGGTCTCTTGATCTCTCATTCGCTCTGATGAAGCCACCTGCCATGTTGTGAGCTGCCTGATGGAGAGGCCCACATGGCAAGAATCTATTGAATCACATGGCTCATGCCTCCAGGCAATAGCTAGTGAGAAATTAAGGCCCTTAGATAAACAGGATTTAGGAACTAAATCCTGTCAACAAGCTTGTGATGAGCTTCCAGTGAATCCTTCCCAAGCCCAGCCTGGAGAAGACTAGAGTCCCGGCTAGCATCTTGATTTCAACCTTGCAAGAAACTCTGAGCTCTTGCTGAGAACTAAGCTATGCTCCATTCTTGATCCCAGAAACTGTGCAATAAGGTTTGTTGGTTTAAGCCACTAAATTTTAGGGTAATTTGTCATAGAGTGACAAATAACTAACACAGATTTCATTATTGTTGTTAATGATCTTGATCAAAAAAAGATAATAAATACTAAATACAAATTTTTTAAAAAAGAGAGATGGATCCAAAGGAGGAAGTAGAGACTAGGTTATGTCTATCTACATAGACACTGGGGGGCTTATCTGCCCTTTCTAAGACTTGTGGGACCTCGAATGTCTCCTTGGAACCTTAAACCATCAGAAGCTGAGAAATCACTGGGGGAAATATTTGACTTTTACTTACAGTGATGTGAAGGGACTTTGCTGAAAAACTCTTCTGACTGACATCTGTCTCTGAGAGTTGTGAAACTCTCATTTACTATAAAAAGAGCCTGTTCATTAATTTGGGATCTGTCGTAGAAAAAGGAGTCGCTCCAATCCAAAAATCCCTCTTAAAAAGCCACTTTACTGAACTTCCTTTTGTAGATAGCCTTGGAACCCAAGTTGATTAGGATACTTTAAGTTGCAGTTAGGATACTTTAAGTTGCAAGTGATAGAACCCTAACTCAAAGCAGCTTAAGCAAAAAAGAAATATACTGGTTCACAAAGATAAAAAAATCAACTTCAGGCATGGCTGGATATAGACTCAAAGGATATCATCAGAACTCTGTAATTCTCTCTTTGCTTCTTTTATCTGGAGTTCTGATAGAGTTTGGATGTGTTGTCCCCCAAAAACTCATGCAGAAATCTGATCCCCAATGTGACAGTGTTGGAAGCTGTTTGAGTCATGGGGGCAGATCTCTCATGAATGGATTAATGCTCTCCCTGGAGGATGGGGGGCCTGAGTGAGTTCTCACTCTATTAGTTCCCACAAGAGCTGGTTATTTAAAAGACCCTGGCAGCCCACCCCCTTGCTTCCTCTCACCATGTGATCTGCTTGTACCCGCCCGCTGCCTGACGCTTTCCACCATAAGTAGAAGCAGCCTGAGGCCTGCACCAGATGCAGCTGTCTCAGAATCCTAAGCCAAATAAAACTCTGTTCTTTATAAATTACCCAGTCTCAGGTATTTCTGTTATAGCAACACAAAAATAGACGAATACAGGTTCCCTCTCAGGCAGACTTACGTGGCAGCCCCAGATTCACATTCTCACAGTTTGGTTCCCTAAGCAGAAAGAGAGCTTCTCTGTCCAAAGAGTTCTCTCCACAGTCTCAGAACTGAGTCTAATTGGCCAGGCCTGGGACACATATGCATCTGTAAACCAATGCTACAGTTGAAAGCTGGTAAGATATGCTGATGAATCAGGTCTGATTCACATGAGAAGTAGCTTATTTATTTGTTCATTTTTACATTCAATTATTAATTCAACAACTACCTGTTGAGCACTTACTGTATGCTAGGAACTCTTCTAAGAGCTGGGGATATAGAAATGACCAAAACAGAGAAAACCCCTTGTTTCCATGGAGCTTATATTCTCATGGAGGGAGAAAGACAGCAAAAGATAAACAGGTAAAATGTGTAGCATTTCAGACAGTGATAAATAATATGAAGGAAAATAAAGCAGTGAAGGAGGATCAAGGTTTCAATGAGAGTGGCAGTATTGCAGCTTCTACTAGGGTGCTTTAGAGAAGGCCTCGATGAGAAGGTGACACTTGAGTAAAGACCGAAAGGTGAAGGAATGAGCATACAGATAGCTGTGGGACCAACAATCTGGGCAGAGGGAATAGTACATGAGAGAGCCCTGAGGCAGGAGTGTGTGGTGTGTCTGAAGAAGAGCAAGGAGGCCAGGATGACTGGAGTGGAGTGAGCGAGGGGCAGGCGGTAAAAGCAGAAGGTGCAGAGGCGAGAAGGGCCTCATAGGATGTGGTCAAGGCCATGGCACCCAGGTCTTCTGCCTCCCAGTGCAGCAGTCTCTGCTCCTCTCCAAACAGCCTTCTGTGTATAACTGTCCTTCCTGTCATTCCTGTCACTCAAGAAAGGCAACAGCTCTACCATTACCCTCCCAGAGGGATTACATTGTCCCTTCTGGCTCTCCAATGTTGGGCTTGAGCCGCCACAAAGAGTCTTTTAATTTATGCTCTGCCTGCTCCTCTGTTACTGAATGCTACTCAAAACAATCCCAAGTGTGTCACCTATTTGAGTAGCACTTTATTTTGCAAAATCTTCACATTATTGATCAAATTTGAGTTCTGTAAGAATCCATTAAGCCAGTATAATTAATCCTGTTTTACAGCTGAGGAAACTGAGGCTCAGAAAGGTCAAATGTTAAATCAGGTTTCTCACCCTCAGCACTATTGATATTTTGCACCAAATAATTTGTTGTCGTAGAGGCTGTTCTGTGCATTGTAGGATGATTAGCAGCATCCCTGGCTTCTACCCACTAGATGGCAACTCTTCACCCCCTTCCCACATTGCCAAATGTTCCTTGGGAGGCAAAATCACCCCCATTTGAGAATCACTGAGTTAAATGGATACATATAGCATAGTGGTTATGAACATAAGCAGAGGTACTGTGTGCAATTTCTTGGAAGTGCCCTTAAAGCTAGCCAGAATGTAGTCATGATTGATGAAGCTCCTGCAGCCATTTTGCACCATTATACCTTGAGAATAGAAACTTAATCCAGCAGAGCAGCACCACAGCAGGAACCTGGGTTCCTAAGTCTCTGATGCACCACTCCAGACCTGGAATCACTACCTCTGTACTTCAAAGGTAAACTGCTAGATTGTTTCAGTTCTTACCATATTATTCCATTGCACTCATCTGATGAGAAATCTAACGTTCTCCTGGTGTTCCTGGAGATAGATTCTAGGGGTGGGGTGCAGTGGGCGATAACTTCGTATAATGTATGCTATACGAAGTTATTACGCTCCCCATCTACAAATAGGATAACAATATCTACGTCACATGCCTAGCTCTCGCA